TTTACGGAAGAAATGTCAGAAGGAGGCTGCATCCAGGCTTTTTGTTTTTAATTGAAAATGTCGTCACCCACTTATGGACCATATCTCAGGAAGTACTCAACCGGTTTCAATGAAATTCGGTATATAATATTTTCTTAAYACCCTGATGACATGTACCAAATATGGGTGAAATCGGTTCTCAACCACGCCTGAAATCTCGATTATCACTTTATCATGCGAGTTCGGTGTTCGGTGACACCCGAGCTTAGCCMTTCCTTACTTGTTTGGTATGGTATTTTCAACTCATTGATTTGATATTCACGATATCAACTAACTTAGTTATCTTGATTTAACGGACATTCAAAACGTAATTTTACTGCATTCCAAGMATTCAGTGCTCGCAAGTTCCGTTTTGAATTCAGCAAGCACCAGACAAGCAATTTTTTTTATCAAAAACGTTTTGTTTCACCAAACTAATTTTTTACTAAGATCTTTTTTAATTAAAATTTTAAACTTACTTTTGTTAAATTTATATATGTATGTGTTTTTTGATGATGAGAGCCTTCTTCTTCCTTAGGAACGGTAGAATAGATTGCCTATCTCGGCTATATATTATATATATAATTGTATACTATATAGAAATTTATATATGTATATACATATATTATATAAGTACATAATTTTGTTCTTAAAAATGCATAAATTATATAATGGCAAGCTTTAGATCCTCGAAATCCTTTGAACTCAAAACTTGGCGCCGTGAATGCACAAAACAAACAGATTTAAGGTTCATAAAGTGTTAAAACAAATACAAAACCTCTCAAATCGTTGCACTTGTCCTTCGAATTCGGCCATAAGACCGGTTTGCACTGAGAAGAAGTATTTATTTGTGCTGAAGAAACAAACTGCTAATAGACCTATGCAAACAAAGGCGCCACATTGTTGTTCTTAAATAATACAATCAATGACGGGTTGCGCCCATCAAAAATAATGCAAGCAACGTCTATGTTTGGTTGTGTGTGCCGATAATGCGTGGAAATTGCTGCGCTCATTGTTGTTTTGTCGACCTGCTACTGTCTCGTGTTATGCTACAACAACAGGTGTCAAAGGTTTTACGCTGATACTGGAACAAGTGAATTACTTAATGTTGAGCACGCGCGGCAGAGCTGCCACAGGCACCAAAGAGCTTGTGAATATTAAAAATAATGGCGTTGCAGAAAATCTCGGGCATTTTATATATGATTTGAAAATAGTATTTTATATTAATCTATGAAGACTCATAAATACCTCTTTTTATAATATTTCTGTTTTCGAAAATTAAAAAAACTCTTGTTTTGTTTTTTCTCGGCTGGCAACCATAGCTGGAATTTTCATTTTCATTTTTTAGCCCATTGACGCCTTTTATCGATAGTCTTAGTCACCAAATATGTTGGCACGTCCCGCCTACCTGTCCAGACGCGCATATTTCTGCAAATTCCTGAGTATCGCACATTTTTTTAGGCTGGCATGCGGGCGCAGCCATCCAGTGGTTTCGTCGTCGCGACTGCTTTTCACAGTTGTGCCATTGTAGCGGTGGCTTCATGCAGACAAGTCGAGACTTTGCTGCTAAACGTACATATGTATGTAAGTCAAGCTTGAGCGCGACCAAGGAGATTTTCATTTACCTGTGGTTCCGTTCCTGTCGCCTGACGTTTTCTCTTTTGTTTCGTTTGTGTTGTATGGCGGAGCGTACGACTCGCCAGAGTGGTGCCAACCGCGATTAGGGAGTACACACGCAAATCAGGTGTCCTTGTCAAGGCGACGCTTCCGTAGCATGCTTATGCACACACAAATTCTATTAGAGTTTAACCTTCCAACGCTCAGGAAATTAGGTTGATATCTGGTACGGACTCAGACGTTGCTATAAAAGCAAACAAATCTGCAGAATTGTTTTAAACACATTTTAGATACTGAAGAGTAAACACTGTTTGATCTACAAGAGTGAAATGACTACAACTGTGCAACAATTTCCAACATATTCCATCGAAGTTGGAGTCCACAAAGGCATACCTTTCTACAATGTCGTAAGTAAAAGCAACATGCACCATTTATTATATATTTACACAAACAACATATAACAACATACATATTATCATTACAGTCATCTTACCATACGAGCAACCAGAAACAAACAACATCCATGCAACACAAATCAATGTGCAGTAACCCTTACGATCAAGCAAGCTCAGCAGAAGATCAGCCAACATCAACCTCAAGTGCAAATAAACAGAAACGTTCCCGCACCGCATTCACCAGAAGTCAAATATTGGAGTTGGAATGTGAGTTCCAGAAAAATGTATACCTTTATCGTACACGCCGCATAGAAATCGCCAAGCGTTTGTCGCTCCGTGAGCGTCAGGTGAAAATATGGTTTCAAAATCGTCGCATGAAGCAAAAGAAGGATTCGAAACGCTCGTCTTTCAATGAAAGACTCACTGTAAAGGATTCGCAGACGTTGAGCGAACAACTAGCGCACAGAGGCATAGTGCAACGTCTGATGTCCTACTCCATGGATCCGGCGGTAAGACGACAGCAAAATTTCAGCAGTTCGCCCTGCAACATAAACAGCTTTCACCCACCTAAATCTACAAATGTCGCTAGGTGTGCAACGCAAAACACATTTGCGGCAAATGCTAGTGCGATACCGCCATCAATACCATCGCCTGATCTGGCAGAAATATTGCAACAACTCAACCAAAGCACAGGTGTGACACAGTCAACAACCACTAATGAAGTCGTTGCAAATCCAGGGTTGCCACTGAACACTCAAGAACTACATCGTGCTGTTGATTGTACAGGGGCGAGCAAAGTAGTATCTGCTGAACCGATGAGTTGCGAAAATATATCTGTTGCGTGGTCTGCAACGCCACAATCTATATCGTCGCCCAAGCCCTCAATGAATCTGTCGTGGTGCGAACCTTTGAACTGGCTACTGGGAGAAAGTAATGAATATTAAATAATATCTTATTTATTATATTGTTTTAGCTAAAATAACAAACAAATTACTACTTAAAAGTGTTCAACAATAATCAAATTATATATGTGTATGTAATAATATTTTTAAGAAGTCAGGATGTTAGATACCAATTTAATTAACTTCCTTTACTGATGATATTAATATCTATATATGTATATTGTATAAAACCGAATAGTTGTGTTTTCTTATTGATTTTGATAAAAATTCCAAATTTGGTGACGTTATAGCCTTTTCTAGCTCTTTCTCATGATCTTATTATGTCCTTTGAGGACTGTCTATAAGTATTCTCTTACGTCTGATATGTCTCGTAAAATGTGAAACAGCTTCGCTGACTTCGAGAGAAAACTACACATTTATTTTCACATTTATTTACTTATCTAATTTAGCTGAGGCGAAAAAAAATTATAAGCAACTGAATTCCGTAACTCATTTGTCATAATATTATCATATTATATTAAATCTAATTTTTTGGAATAGATTAAAAAGGTGTGATCGCTTTTTTACTCAGTCCGTGTAGCCATCACAATAGTTGAAGGAACTGTGCTTATATAAGTATACCATATGTGTTCCAAAACTATCCCGTACTACACATATGCAAATGTAAAAAAATTTTTACATAATTTCTGAAGGAATGTCTATAATCGAATTGCATGATAGTTTTGGATGACCTGGAGAGTATATAATGATTGATCCATTTCGAGGTTCCCTACCTTTTTAAAGAACACACATAAAAACTTCACATTTATTGGAGCATTTTTTTATCATTCGAAAGAACATTTTGCGGATTTTCTTTTTTTAAGATTATCTCCTTCAAATGTTAGCCCCAGTGCAACACTCGATAGTCCATCCGTCGAGTCTAATTAACGATGAGTCGGTCGAGTATTTCGAATGATAATTGGGTCTCTATCGAAGTAGAATTGTCCATATAGACTTTAGACTTTATATATCTCCACACGAAAAAGTTCAAATGTGTGATATCACACGATCTTGGGGTGCGAATCAACCGACCCAAAACGTGAAATTATCTGCGCAACGAAGTACTCTCTCAATAAATCCAATGAATGCGGTGATGTGTGGGAAGTGAGGCCGTCTGTTTGAAACCAAAAAACCTTCAATTTCAGGTATCAAATAGTCGGTTGTCAAGGCGTAATCATCATCATTGGCATAGTTTGTGAAAAAATATGGACCGATGATTCCACCGACCCACAAACCACCCCAAACCGTAGTTTTTCCTGAACGAAATGGCAGCTCTTTAATCTCTCCAGGTTCCTCTTCATCTCAAATGCGCCAATTACGTACCCACTGGGTCGGAAATAGTTCTCATCGCTTAACAAAATTCGGCTCGAAAACGTCGGATCTTCTTGGAACTTTCCAAAAGTTAAGCGATGTCGCTTGGAAAGGTCGAGCTGCTTCAGTTTTGTACAAGCTATGTTTTGTACGGTTTCTATTCAAAATGTCGACGTAAAATGCGCCAAGCCTTTCCATACGTCAGTCGGAGCTGCTGTGAACGGCACCAAATCGACTTTCCACGGGCTTTGTGTACACTCTCAACTACGACTTCTATATTTTCTTCACTGCGTACTGGACGTAGTATATTCGTTCGAATATTATCTAATAATAAATGCTGAACAAAGTAATATGATAACTTGACATGACTCACGCGTGATCTGGCTTTGAAAAAAATAACTTCTACTTGGATCACCCGTTATATACATATATGTTATACAGAGAGTAAAGATATTGATTCGCCTTAATTTGTTGATATCTACTCGTATTTCCACATCGTTCAATAGGCTTGACTAAGTCAAATGTAAGTAAAATAGAAACGGAGGAAATAAGGTTTAATAGAGAAGATATAGTATATACTTATGTGTAAATAATTAAAACTACGGAAGATATATTCCATTTTATATTGACTTTTTACAAAAATGTCATGTTTTCCTCCGGAAGCAGCATGACACTTCTACCGCAAGCGAATATTCGCGCCATCTGTACGTCAAGTGAAAAAACTATAGGCGAATATTATGAGGAGCGTGTATTGGATACGTGGTTGATGACGAATTTTATAAATGTTTCCAAGAAAAGCTGGTGCCTTTTAAATATTTGCCTAAGAAAACTTGTACACCATACAACAAAACATTGTTTTTTTAAGCTTAAAAGCTAGGTCAAAATTAAACTTTTACCAACTAATTTAATTATGATGATTTGACTTATTTATCTAAACAATATATCAAGATTCGCTTAAGATCACACTCCATAACCAATTCACGGAGTAGATTAAAAACAAAATCATGTACATGCAGAGAAATCGTCTATTCAATTCTGATTTTGCGCCATCTGTTTGTAAACTATGCAAAAATAAGTTCTTAAGCAGTCAAAATTGTCCACAGTATGTAACAGCAGTAACGTGCACAGTTAAGATGCGAGAATTGATTAATTTTGATTTAAAGCAATTAAGTTTAGTTCAGACATGATTTAAGATCCCCAGGAATAGAACACTTGATATTTTTTCGTATGTTATGCTTAACTAGGATAGTTCTTAATTGGAAAGTTCTTCTTCCTTATTGGCATAGACGTCGCTTAGGCGGTTATAGACGAATTGAAAGCTAGTATACTGCAATTACTTTATTTATAGATTCGTTGAACTGATTTATAGAACTTTGCTTATTACTTTGATATGCTTAGCTGAGCTTAAAGTAAATATACCGTTTTTATAATAGTATATGTATATAGATAAAAAATATGCGAAAATTAGTGCCATTTGTCATGTTCGCCTAAAATATGCCCTCTTAGTAGCATGTTATAAAAAACTGATACCACCCTAATTCTCAGTTATGTACACTACTATACATATATGTATATACTACCATACTTACACACACAAAAAATACATTATCAACTTAAGTACATACACATATGAAGGCCATATAAAAGAGTCAATAAGTCAGGTCTGCGTTGGTATGAATTCAGCAGCAAACATTCAACACTAATAGTTCCGTGTGCGCCGTGGGTAAGCACAGAATTGCATTCACTACTCTCTGACCCTGAACAGCGAAACAGGATTTAAGTAATAAATTACAAAATTTGACATTTTCAGTTTCAGATCCGCTTTTGACTGTGCTATGTTGCACGCCATGGTCAGATTCCACGAGGACGAAATGGATATCAAACCCAAAAGGCTGCCAACCGTTAATCGCCAACAGTCAACTGAGTATAAAAGCAGATGCACTGCAGTGTAAAGGACATTTTCATAATACAGCTTGCCAGCAATGCTCGTTGAAAGGATTGCCGTTTACGGAACATTTCAGGAATTTAGGCTGTGAAATTTGTTATACGTATTTTTATAAATTGGAAATGTATTTCTAAAAACAAAACAAGAAACAAACATTAATGCTGCTTTACATATTCTTTTAGGGATCGTAATATATATTAAGTAAGTTATGACACTTAAAACTATAATTATAAAAAATTCGGATTTTTATTAACACGAATTCTGTGCTCTTAAAACTTAAATCAAGCATAACATCGAATATTCCTACTGGAATTTAGCTTTCTGACAAAACTTTATATGACATTATTTTATTCATTGGTAACACTTTCTTCAAGGGCAAATAAAAAAGCTCGGCTGAGCATTGAAAGCCAAGTGCGTTTGCACTCGACTGCCATTGCCAGAATAGATACAGATGCTTCACATTATTAACTCATTGCATAAGTGTGTACATATCTACCTACAATATATCCATGTGCACACCCGGCAGGAAAAGTCAAAACTACTCTACTACACTTGGAGAAGCTTCTGTATTGAATGCTAACTCCATCTACTGTTGTTGTAACGGGTAAATTGTCATCGACGTACTGTTTCGATAGGGTCGGGCCAAAAGAAGAAGGGTGTTAGATGAGTAGGGTTGGCAGAGCATGCAAAGAGGTGGCTAGTGTCAATCGGGAACACCTTGCACGCTGGATCTAATTTGGATAAATTGGAGTTTAACCTGCTACAATATCCAGAAGGAAGCCGCGGAATGGTAACTGATCTGAAATTCCTTGACTAGGCTAGCTCTTATACAATTTCTCATATTTTAACTTCGAGGTAAATGTTTAACGAAATTAAAATAAATGTTTAACGAAATTAAAAGTTATAAGAAAATAAGAAAAACCGTTAATACCGACTCAACTAAAAGTTAATACTTACAAAATTCTCGTTTAGTTTTACTCCAAGCTGTTTTCCTTCAGGATATGATTCAAATATACCGACGGAACTGCATGTGTGCAAACACGGTATGGTTTGCTTTACATTTGCAGGAATGTGATTTGATGTCGAAATCATATCCGTTTTATCGATAAGCTCTTGGAAATCTAGATTCGTGTTGTAAGTCTAAAAAAAATGTATACTGATTCAATGTACTGAGCTGAAATCGCTGGAAGTGTTATCCAAAATTGAGGGTTGTTATCTAATGGATCACATTTACCAAACGAGGGCTACAAATTCAATTAGTGTTATTTTCCTTTCCCTGATTAGTTGATTATATTTGTTATAGAGGGTGATCCATTTCCTTACTTTTTTTTAAAGAAAAAAAAATACAGAAACTTCAAATTAAGAGAGGAATGATTATTATCATTCGAAAGAACATTATTTGGTATTTATTTTTTGAATATCATCTCTTTAAAATGTTGGCCGCGGCAATGTCTCGGATGGCCCATCCGTTGAGTAAAATTTTCTATGACTCGTTCGAGCATTTTGACTAGTAACTGTCATATGACACACGTACTGTTTCGCTAGAAAACCTGATTCAAACCGGGATTGTCCGCATTGACTTTAGGCTTTAATGGTGTAATATCATACGATCTTGATAGCCATCGACCGGCCCAAACGTGAAATTATCATTATCGAGGTCACTAACTTCAATTTTATGCATCAGGTTATCATGACAAGATAACGAGGTACGTTCTCACGGGCATCATTTTGGAAGAAATATGGACCG